GTCCAGACAGATGAGTACGACAATGGAGAAAGTACCTCCACCTCCTCCCATGGCACAAAAATTAAGCTGAAACACCCCTCTTCATGGGCGCTCACATTTCTGTTGCTGTCTGTATTTGTAGCCAGAGTTGCCCTGCTGCAGTTTCGACGCCACTTCCCTTCCAAAAACCAAAACACGACAGATAAAAACTTCAAAGAACCCTCAGGTAGATACAGTTTACAGCAGGTCAGATTGTTGTGTCAGTTTGAAGCAGACAATTATGTTTATGGAAGTTCAATGACTCTTGTGTTACTGTAGTGTTTTGTTGTGGTTCCTCTGGCCATTCCTCCTCCCAGCCAATCATTAACTATTTTTAGAATGTTTTTTCAGCAAAAGTGCTGTTACTGAGCTCAGCCGTCATCACGTCTTTGTACTTTCATGTTAATTCCACTACGACGCGATATTGGTGTCCCAGTCTGTGAACTCACACAGCGTTTCGGCGTTGCGGAAACTGTCTCGCCTCTGTAACGCCTCTGGGACAAAACATCACTGGGGTGTAAATGTCACGGCTTGAAACGGCAGTCTGAATAGAGCTATTGTTTAGGATTTTTGGGTGGCTTGTCAGATTTAGCAAGGTGGCCATGGCTAACCCTGGATCTGTCCCTGCTGTGTTGATGTTCATCAAACACAATGTATCTACCTGTTACTCCAAGGGACTACAATCAATAACATTAAGGTTTACAGGGTGAAAAGTGTCAAAACTCAAACTCATGAATAGATACATTTGTTATTGAGACCACAGTGTTTATTTCTGATGCAACTTGAACATTTGAATATCAGGCCTAAGAAACATTTGTTTGGCTTCTTTGAGCCAGCCACAAGTGCACAATAGAGGAACTATAGCTTTTTTGAGAACTCCTGCATTGATTTCATTTTTCAACTCCAGCTATTGACGTTTAATTAACTTTTTATTCACCTGCAAAAAATAGTACACAAGTTTAAAATGGCCATTGGGGAGGCGTCATAATGTCCACAGAAATGTGCTGGGTTCAGCCAACAGAGCAGGATCATTTGAGGAATATCTGACAGAAAGTCATACGTTTTTAAGGATTCAAACAAATGTATTCTTCTCTCAAACACACCACCTAAAGTGTCCATTGAACTCGTTATTATGTTCAATATTGAGAATCCACAATGTGTGTCAGATAACAAGCACATCAGAGAATCGTATGAAGGACTAGGACCTGAAGATGGTGAGACACTTCAGCAGAATAATGATTCTTCTAGTGAAGGACAAGGCTGAGATGGAAACAGCATCACGTTGCACTACTTAATGCTTAGAAAACAAAAGTCTGTGTTTGTCCTTGTGCTGTTGTGTGTGTGTGTGTGTGTGTGTGTGTGTGTGTGTGTGTGTGTGTGTGTGTGTGTGTGTGTGGGTGTGTTTGTGTGTGTATGTTCCTGTGTGTGGGTGTGTTTGTGTGTGTGAGTGTCAGTGGAACAGGTAGAGAGACAGAACAACAGGAACAAATGTGAATTCTCCCCACGTGCAGGCAGGCAGGAGCATCTGTTCTTAAGTGGCGACTGTATGTGTGTGTGTGTGTGTGTGTGTGTGTGTGTGTGTGTGTGTGTGTGTGTGTGTGTGTGTGTGTGTGTGTGTGTGTGTGTGTGTATGTGTGTGTGTGTGTACGTGTGTGTGTGTGTGTGTGTGTGTGTGTGTGTGTGTGTGTGTGTGTGTGTGTATAAGTGAGCGGGGGTGGATGTGAGTTGTGTGTGTATGTTTGTGTGGGTGGGTGGATGTGTCTGAAATTGTGAAATTGTGAAATTGTGTGTGTGTCTCTGTGTGTATGTGTGTGTGTGTGTGTGTGTGTATATGTGTGCGTGTGTATGTGTGTGTATGTGTGTGTGTGTGTGTGTGTGTGTGTGTATATGTGTGCGTCTGTATGTGTGTGTATGTGTGTGTGTGTGTGTGTGTGTGTGTGTGTGTGTGTGTGTGTGTGTGTGTGTGTGTGTATATGTGTGTGTGTATGTGTGTGTGTGTGTGTGTGTGTGTGTGTGTGTGTGTGTGTGTGGGTTTGTAATGTTTTCTATAACAAAGAACAGGACAACAAGTGCCACTGCACGTGGAATAAAGTCACTGAGGCCACACAGGGTTGAAAATGGATGTATTTTTTGATAGGATGAAATTCCTGACTCACACTTGAAGAACAAAATGAAGCATCAGTGTGAACTTTAGGGAACGCATCATGTAGTAACCTGTAACGTCGGATTTAAGATGCCTTGTCGAGTTTTCTTATGACAGAGACGGAATCTTGAGTCAGGCAGAGGGAAGGATTTTTTTTTTTTATCATGGAACTATTAAATCAGCTTCATTTAATAAAACTCCCTGCATGTATGGTGGTTATCATTTAGCTGTTAAAAGGAATGAACACTTTAGGTTCACTTCTGTCAGTCATAGTGAGGGTTTCTGAGATAAGCCATTCTATGATAACGTCATATTTTCTGCTGAGCCAATTTACATTTTATTAAATTATCATAAGGTAAATATGGTCAATGGAATTGAGCTTGAGTAGTGATTTTCTAGTCTTCTGACTACTCAAAGGGCTTTTACACTGCATGGTACATCTGCCAATTCACACCACATTCTCACACTGATGGCAGAGGCTGCTATTTAAAGTCACCATCAGTATTAACTGATCCATTAATACACAGTCGCATGTTGCTGATGAAGCTGCTGGAGCTCTTTGAGGTTAAGTGTATTGCCCAAGGACACATCAGACATGTAGCTGCAGGAGCTGGGGATCGAACCCCAAACTTACAGTTGTGAGATGACCGACTCTACCACTGAGCCACAGCAGCCCCAATGTTCAGGATTTTTCAGAGTATAAAAAGCTCATTCTGGCCACAAATGTGGCCGATGACCAGTTTGAAGTTTATAATAAAACAGTGAGAATGCATTCATTTCATACAGGTGATGAGCGACTACGTGCACATCAATCTCACATTGAAGCTGTATATGTACGAGACATCTTCAGTCTGTAAACAGAGACTGCAGTCTGCAGCGTTGTTCACTCATTGCAAACGGAGTTGATGATCAAATGAAGTTTGTATTTCTTGTCCCTCCACCTCTGTGCTTAATGGCACACACACCCTAACCCTCACTCAACCATGACCTCTCCCTTTCTCCCTCTCTCTCAGAAGTTGTTTTTGAAGTTATTGAGAGAATACTCAACTAAAACTCCTTATTCTAGAGAAACATATTTAATGCTGTTTAGTCCGAGAGGCACATCAGATGTTTTATACTCTGATTATGTTGCCTCCAAATCACCTTAATGTGAAAAGTCAGACCTGCGGCGATGTATCACTCTAAAGGAAGTATTAAAAACAATATAATAAATAATATAAAACTGCGATCCTTTGGTGACAGAGCCTTCAGTGCCTCAGCCTCCACCCTCTGGAACTCTCTCCCTGACAACATCCGCACTGCTGCATCTCTGGACATTTTCAAAAATCTTCTCAAACACCACCTGTTCAGCAAAGCATTCGGCCTCAGTTAACAGTTAACTTTCTTTGTTGTCTCCTATTACTGCCCCCATTTTTACGACTGTAAAGCATCCTTGGGTTTCTTGAAAGGCACTATATAAATCCAAGCTATTATTATTATTATCATAATGTGAAATTCTAAGTATTTTGTTGGTAAACTCAGTGTAGTGTATAGCCTACATACTGTAAAGCATCATACAGAATGTGTAAGTGGGGAGCAGGAAGGTTTCAAACACAGTTACAAAGGTAACTGGGCCGCTGTTTGTAGAGTTACAAGGATTATTAGATGTTAGATGGAAACAGATATTTTTATTGGTGCAGCAGGCGAGACAGCTTCAGCTTTATTTTGTCCTCTAATGGCATCATAAAAGAAAAGGTCACATTAGCCCCCTTTTTGCTTCAACGCCACTACCATTATGAGCTATTACAAAAAAAGGATTCAATGTGGTTCCCGGTATCTCTCTTATCCTCTGCCTCAGCAGATTGTTCTGAGACTTCATAGCATGATGACTCACGTATTTTCACACTTCACACCTTTGGTACCCAATTAGAGGTGAGTAAAAGAAGCTGCTCTCATGTTTTCTTTTTTAATAAGGATTACACACGGGATCTCAGTAGTGACATGGTTTGATGATCACGTTATATGCGTAAAGAAGGGGATTGAGAGTTAGCACTTTTGTCACTATGGCGACAGCGTGTGAAGGGTGTTATTACTGTAGTCTATTTATACTTAACATGAGACCCAGGAAGAAGTGTCATTTTTGTTGCTTGTTACAAATGGGCACACAGAGTGAAAGTACTTGTAGGAAGAGCCAACAATAGGTCTGTTGTAAATGTGAAAACCTCAGTCTGCTGTCTGCTGAACTACTGATTCTTATGAGCTCATGTTTGCAAGGTGTGACATTCGTTAAAGGGATCTGTGTATCCTGTAAAAGTCACTACAATGAAAGTGCTAGAGTGGGATTTGCATCGTCCATTCTGAGAAGAATTATCATGGATGTAAAAGCATCATACGTTGTGTGAATTCATCTTGGACAGTCAGGAAGGGCCCTCAGAGTGTAAGGCCTACAGAAGCCATTTATAGAGTAGAGTGTAGGATGGGAAGGTAAATGTCAGTTGGAAACCCCAGCTCCAGTCTGAATGTTGAGGATGTGTGGGATTCAGGATTTGGACTTCTGGCTATCACGACTCCTGCGTAACTCACACGAAAGGAAAAACACATTCATACACACACAGGAGGAAAAAAAGAGTGGGCAAGAGAAAGAGTTGAAGAGATTTCTGATGACATATTATGCAATAGCGATACAGTAATCCAATAGTCAAGATCCTGACTCAACATCCTCCCACATTCTCCTTCATGGTGGTGTTATGGGTTGCACAAACATACAGACATACAGATAGATAGATAGATAGATAGATAGATAGATAGATAGATAGATGGGCCGTCCCACGCAGCTTGTTGTATTAAAAACAGGATATGATGCTATTAAAAATATTTTTATTTTGACATCTCAAGTGCATATAGTTATTAGACAAGCATGATGCAAAGCGTTTGAATAAAATCTTTTTCTATTCATTGTTCATTCGCCCTGCAGCCCTTCTCGTCATACTTTCATTGTCTTTCACTGAATTTGACATTTTTCCAGTGCTTTGCCGGACTTTCTCTCCGTATGAGGCCCAATAACTTGTCGGAGATCCGTGCTGAAACTCGGCCGCCGGGCCAGTGGGTACAGCATGCCGCACGCATCGTTGCGCCCCAGATTCTGGTTCCCTCTTTCCCCGGACACACGGCCTGTGCGCATCGCCTGGTACGAGCGGAGCGAAACTTTCCGGTGCTGAGACGGGCCAGTTTCCGTCGGAAGTCCCCCTCTCTTTGCCAAAGTCTCGAAGACTTTCTCCAGATTTGTACTGTCCTTTGCAGACGTTTCAAAATAGGCACAGTCGTCACCGAGAACTGTGAGCACCTCTGCTCTGGATATTCCCCTCTCGGACTCCAGGAGATCCACCTTGTTGGCGCAGACCACCAGGGGAACCTCCGGCTGTGCGCACTGATCAGGAACAGACGATTTTGCGAGCTTAGATTTAGCAGCCAGAATCTCCGATCGCAGGTCGCACACCTCTTCGAAAGAACTCCGGTCATCAAGACTGAACACTAGAAGAAAAATGTCTCCTGCAAAAATAAGAAAAAAGAAGAAATCAAATATTTTCATCTTTGGAGTTTGCTTTTGACGCATATCTATGCATCCTTTAATAATCAAGCCTTTACGCATGAACCAAACACCTGCAGGGCTCTTTTGGCGCAGACAAAAGACTAACATGCATTCAGAGTTTTTATGTGCCATATATAATGAAAGAGAAAATACGCACCAGTGAGGATGGACAGCCGCCGTTTGGCTGGGAAATCCCTCTCTCTGGACGCGTCAAGAATGTCGATTTGGTAGGTTTCTCCGCGGATACGAAAGAGCTTCCTGAGGAAATCCTCGGAGGTGGGGTTGTAGTCCTCCACAAATCCGTCCCGAAGGTATCTTCTCAGGATGGACGTTTTTCCGACCCGCGGCGCACCAAGAACCACGATGCGCTTACAGTTCTGCGGCTTGGTGGAGCAAAGCGGGTCTTGTCGTTCTTGGCCAATCTGTCGCTGCCGGGTTTGACCGTGAAGAACCAGAGCTGCCAGCTGATCCAGCGGGGATCTCTTGCAGGGATGGCTGATGTTGGGAGAGGACAGTTGCCTTATGGCTGATCCTGAACGCGTCTTCTTCTCCTGTTTCCACTGAGACGTGGCCACTTTAAGTATCCCCAAGCCTGCCTTTATTCCAGATGAACTCAGGTGCTGCGACGCGTTTTTATAAGCCAGTAAGACTTTAGAGGACCCAGCGCACTGTCCGTCCATGTTCCCACGAAACTGGGAAGCATCGTTGGTTGAGCGGTTTAGCTGGTGCGCGACAGGGATGGAGGTGGTCTGTGCGCCAGCGGAGATGCTGCCCCTGTCCATAGTTCTGAAACAACTTTGAGCCATGGTTCCGCGAAAGAAAGCAGAACGAATGTTTGATGTTAACGTCAGACTTGTCTTTGCCAGTGGCTGCTCTCTCTTATATAGGCCATCCCAAACCCCCGCGTTCATCTGCGTCATGCTGATTGGCAGGACTAGGTGGTGTGTTCCTATAAAGGGAAGACAAAATGATTTTCTTCTTCTCTTGAAATTTTCTGAAGCCACGTACTTGAATTGTATAGCCTAATTCACGTAGCCTACTTGAAATATGATGATAATAATAATAATAATAATATTTTATTTATATAGCACTACAAGTAACAAAGTGCTTCACAACAGAAAATAAAAGCAACAGGCAGACAGTAAACAAACAGACAATGAAATCAGAATAATACAATAAAAAAAAAACTATTAAAACGAGAGTAAAATACTTTTAGCAAAAGAAAGTCTTGAACTGAATCTGCAAGTCTGATCTCCTTTGGCAGGCTGTTCCAATAGTGTGGGGGCTCTAAGAGCAAAAGCCCTGTCCCCTTTAGTTTTCAGCCTGGATCTCAGAACAGTCAGTAGAGCTCTGCCAGAGGATCTCAGACTGCGTCCTGGTGCATAAGGGGTTAAAAGCTCAGAAATATAGGCCTAATGGTTAATATTAATATTATTATTATTATTATTATTATTATTATTAATAATAATAATAATAATAATAATAATAATAATAATAATAATAATATGATTCCTATTTTTATCAGGCCAAATATTGTTAGCCTACTTTAACACTATTTTTCCCAATAGCCTACTTCCGGCTTCAGAAATGATAAAAATTCAGCTTGTTTTCTTTTTTTGTTTCGTTTAAATTGTGTGTTCTTGTCTATGAGGTATTTCAATACGTGCCTTTGGTGTTTTTATTGAGCTTACGTTTTTAACTCTAACGATAGAACTAGAAAGGACCCAAGACAGAAACAAAGAGACGTAAGACAGAAACAAAGTGGCCTACTTTGTCGCTCCGTGTTTTAAGACTGCGGTGAAGCCAGCCGCTCCTCGAGTTTACATGGTGAAGTGAGCCGCCCGTAAATTTGAAGTGCCCACGTATTCTGATCTTTATGGTAAATGCTCCGGACTGCAGAGCGAGCAGGAGACAGAGAGAGTGATGACGTGAAGTGCTAAATGTCTAGGACTTACCATAAAACTGAGATACACGTGTATGAAACGGGAGTAAACAGAATACTGTTCAGGGAATAGCTTCGGAGGTCGGGGAAGTTAGTGTGAGAATAATTCTGCGAGTCTGCGGTAACTTCCGTTTTTCAAAAGAAGGTGTTCACAATAAATATAAAAAAACAGTTTTCTTGGAGAAAACAATAATTATATATATTTTATTACATAAGTACACTATGATTCTGATATGGTTGGACTTAGTACTTCTTAGACTACATGCACAGGTACTATGAAGTACTTTTTCTGTGTACTTTTTGAGAAATCCACTGTCAAAGTCCATAATAAATCACTATAATTACTCTTTTTTTCTGACTTTGCTGTCATATAAAAAGAAAATCTTCCATAAGTACATTTAGGTACTTTTACAGTGTACTTTCTGAGATAATACAGCACAATAATGAGCCTGTTATTTTCTCAAACCCTGAGGCCCTTTTCAAAAAACTGCTAATTCATCAAAAATTGTTCTACACATTTACATAGGCCTACCTTTAACTTCATAAATACATGTCCTTTAACCTATTATTTGCCATCATAACCCACAACATTACAATGTGTATTAATTATAACGATTTTATGTTTTAACAATAATTAAACTTATAAATAGACATTAGTTTTACCCTATATGTTCTGTTTAGCTTTTGAGTGTGTGGGTTTGTTTTTACACTTATTTTACCTTGACCCTTATTTTTACCTTGAAAATCAGAAAGCGTTAAACTCATAAACCCCCTCTTCTCCCCTTGTTGACGCGTTGAGGAGGTGATTTGAGTTGAGGAGGTGATTTGGGTTGAGGAGGTGATTTGAGTTGAGGAGGTGATTTGAGTTGAGGAGGTGATTTGGGTTGAGGAGGTGATTTGAGTTGAGGAGGTGATTTGAGTTGAGGAGGTGATTTGGGTTGAGGAGGTGATTTGAGTTGAGGAGGTGATTTGGGTTGAGAACTTGACGGACGGAGAGGACTTCGTGTGTGCAATTCGGCGGAGAGTTGTTTTCTCAACAAGTTTGTAGAATATTTGCATATAGGCTACTAGGTTTTTTCAAAGACCAATGTGGAGCCAATGATGACGAATCGTCAAGGGTAGGTTTATTCTAAATAGTTGATGTTAATGTTCAACAGAGTTGCAGATGACAGTTGTATGCTAACGCTTTTTTCACTTTTCAAAAACCAATGCTGACATATTTCTTGACTTTTTGTATCCTATAGAGGCAACATAACATATTAATGAAAAGTTTTGTTGTAAAACTGATAAACTTATTTTAATCAAATTCAATCCAACACATCTAAACAAACTACAGCCTCTGAAAATGAATTCACAAAATGCAGCTTTTCATAGTCCCCAGAATCATTGATTTCTTAATCTTAATGAATCATTGATTACTGTATGCATGGAAGCTGATGGGAAACTGAGTGACAGACAGATGGCTAGGAGCAGGGGGAGTCTGAGGCTATCTGCTGAGTGGATAGGATGATCAGAGTTAAATTGTGGAATCATCAGAATTGTTTTTCATCACCATGTATGTATTCACAAATAAAATGTTTTCAATTGTGTTTGTTAGATGACAATACAAATAAATAATATCAGAAATATGAAAAGAATATGCATTTCTGCTATTGTAGAAAAAAAGATTTGCAATAATTGGGAGAATAGAAACCAGGCTTGTTGTAGACTGTTTCTTGCAGTTATTTGTGATGAGTATATGCCAATACTAAATCTTCAGATAGGTCCTAGATACCGCTGCACAATGCACATTGAGTACTTTGGAGTTGATTTAGTTGGTCCAAAGGATATTGACAACTGAATATCTCTGCAATTCATAAATAAAAAGAAAACCAACTTTCAAGATGTTCCTTAATTTATCTCTAAATATAAATAAAACATGTAAAATAACAAACATGCCCTCAAGACCGAAGCCTTAACGCTGTTTCAATGTCCTCTCTCCTTTGAATCCATGGATTTAGTGTTGATTGTTCAATAAAAAACGTTGCCTGATTTAGCTTAAGTACACTCAATCTGCAGTTGAGCTCATTGTTTGCTTCATATTGACTTTTATTTGAGCTACTATCATGAAAATTTCAGTTTTAAAAAGGGTTAAAAATGTAATGGCAGCCAGACAAATTTTAAGGAGCCATTTAAAGTTCTTGGATGTGTTTACATGTTAAAAAAAGTTTCAATCTGGTGTATAAACCAGCTCCACCAGTATTAGCATTAGTATTATTGTCCAAGTAGCAAATGATCTTAATCCTGATCCAGTTAACGAGCTACATATAATTTTACAGAAACAAAGCTGCCAATAAACTTAAAAATGTACACATTATGTGACTGAATATCATTTTATTTTCTGCCAGTGTTTGACATGGACATCCACTGTGCTATGTGCTCGACCTCGAAGCCCCCAGGATCAGGGCCTGAAATGAATACTCAAATGTATGTTGACTTCTTTTAAGAGTTAATTTTTATAGTGTTTAATTAAAGTTTATACAGTGACAATAAGAGCGTTATGAGAGGATTCTAGATTTAAGTTTAGTCAGTAAGAGGACAAAGGATTTCCAAACTGGTTATGGTTTTCCACCTTGAAACAGGGTTATTGAATCTTCAGAATCAGAATGAAAGCACAAGATCTCCTGCTGACAGCTTCAAAAGAATAAGATAAAAATAGAAAAAGCAAAAAAAAAATAGAATAGAATATAAAACACAAAATGTGCAATGGAGGAGTTGTGCAGATATGTGCATGATTTTCAGTCTAATATTGCTGTGAGTCATGACTGTCTACAATGAGTGCCTATAACTAGAAATGTTTCTCTATTGCACAAGATTCTCTATTCCTGACAAGTTGATAAAGGTTAACATTTTATTTTACAGATACAGTGTGACACATGCGAAAGAGGAGCCATGCCTAGCCATGGATGAAGAAAAACTCCAACATGCAAGGGTGAACGATTGGGATTGTGGATAGTTGTTGGTGTTCAGAGTCTTTGTAATTTCATATGTATGTTCTTTGAAAATGTTAATGTTTATAAGAAATGTAAAAACAATGTCAATAGTAATTTTGTATTCGTGACTGATTATTAATATTTGAAAAATGCTTGAATGTGTATTTATTGCAAAGTATTAAAAGTGCAAAATGTAGCTGTGACAGAGCAAATCAAATTAGTACTGTCACATTCAAAACATATCAGAATCATTTTCTACTTATGGAAGAATTGTTTTTTACAAGACATCAAAGTCAGAAAAAAGAGTCATTATCGTGATTTATGAGGGACTTTGACAGTGGATTTCTCAAAAAGTACACAGTAAAAGTACTCCATAGTACATGTGCACGTAGTATAGGAAGTAATAAGTCCAACCATATCAGAATCATTGTCTACTTGGAAGAACATATATTTTTGTATTTTTTTTCCCAGGAAAACACCTTATTTTGAAAAACGGAAGTTATCGCAGACTCGCAGTATTATTCTCAAACTAATTTCACCGACCTCCGAAGCTATTCCCTGAACAGTATTTTGTTTGCTCCCGTTTCATACACGTGTATCTCACAGCCATTTTTATGGCTCATTTTACTTCGGCATTCATCACTTTTGCCTGGAGAAGGAGATTAATAACGGGTCAAAATCACTCTCTCTGTCTCCTGCTCGCTCTGCAGTCCGGAGCATTTACCATAAAGATCAGAATACGTGGGCACTTCACATTTAGGGGCGGCTCACTTAACCATGTAAACTCGAGGAGCGGCTGGCTTCACCGCAGTGTTTTAAGCGTCCGTTGCCATGGTTACGATAAGGGGAGGAAGACACCGAACAAGCGTTTGTACTTTTAGCGCACTTTAGCGCAGCGATAGCTTTGTTGGCATCGTTTATTTTCGCTGCATTTGTTACCA